TGCCTTCTTGACAAGCCCTAGAGAACTATGAAAGAAGTGAGAAGAAGTAAGGCGGTAGCAAGGAGAGCAGACTGGGTAGAGGCAGAAGCGGAGTTTTCTATGGCTTTCTTTATGTTCGCCCAAACATCCTCACTGCGAAGAAGGCACCGCATAGCAAGAACGACGAAGAAACATCACAAGAGCCAAATCATCTCACGCTTCGGCATGAACGTCAGATACTGCCAAACTCTGTAGCCCTATGCAACTAATAAAGAATGTTATACACACACGTAGAACAAAGAAACCGTCCTAACGTCGCCTAGGAGGAAACATGTTCGTGCATGGCGAAAAGAAAACAAGTGGCCAATCCTAAAATTGCAGGTGTGGAATACCGCTGGAGACAACAGGCGAAAACAACGTGAAATAGACGGCACTAGGCAGCACCTTAAAGACACAAGGGGCAGAGGCGGACGACAAATGAAAATGCGCCAACAGCACGAGCACAAATACACACAGATGGAACCACAGTAGCTGACTAATACATGGAAGGCCTCCCTAAAAAGCACGCTCAATACAGCTCGGGTGCGACTGAACCAGACAAGGGAAGTGCAGACAGCAGATGAAAAGCGAGCTTTTGAGAAATGTGCACCAACGAAGGCAACAACCACCGGAGGAGCCTGTACAACCAAAAGGAACGGGGGACGGTCTATTATCAAGAGCGTACGAGAAGGGTTTTTTTCCTTGTACAAGAGCCGCAGGATTGGTGAAGAAAACAAGACAAGCTTAGAAATTATATGAAATCAATAGGAAAATGTAGGCGCACGGGCAAATCACCAGATAAGATGAGGGTTTTCGACAGAACGTACACCTAGGAAGACAAACGCCACTGCCGGAGGAGACACAATCAAGACGAAGGCAAGACGGTGTACTCTGAACAACGTACGAGAAGGGTTTTTTTCCATTTTCAAGAGCTGCAGGATTAGTGAGGCAAACGAGGCCGGTAACCGTCTGAGAGGGTGTGGAGAGGCGCCGAACGGATGGCCCGGTCTTCGGCTGGTCTCCCGAGCTCGACGAACCCCCAGCGTCTCGTTCTCCAATTAAAGAGAAAGTGCTCTCTTTGTTCGGGGTTGTCTCCTCTTCTTCCTCCGCATCAGTTGATCCTGTAGAGCTAGCAACTGTAGTGGTGGTCGTGGTGGAGACAGGACATGTGATATAGGCACAATCGACTGTGGCGCCGTCCTGAGGGTTGTACAGGGCCACAAGCGAGAGGTTCCGGCTGTCCTTATACACAGCACTGTCGGCGTTGTATTCGGGCGGGAGATCGCCAAAGTTTACGTGGGCTCCTTTCCAGTAGGAGACGGCTGCAGAGCAGCCATCGGCAGGGCCTGTCTCAGGCGCGTAGGCATAGGTGCCGTCGCGCTTGATCTTTCCCCCAGTAGTGTTCAATGCTGCCCCCTGAGCGCATCAAATAACGAGCCAATGCGTTCAGCTCCATTTAGCCCACAACGGCTGCCAAACGTAAACTCACATATGCAGAAAATCGCAAAGACACAGTTTACGGAAATGGTAGGGAAAATACAGGCCGCTTGCCTCTTGTATGGCAGAACAAATCGCTGCGATGTAGTCTTCTTCTCCTGTCGGTAGTTTCTTGCCTTCCTCCTTCTCCTCAGTGAAGGCTTCGAGGCCTGCTCGTTCTCGAGCCGCATTGAAGTCGGCAAGGCAGTCGACGGAGGCTGCACAGATGCGAAACCACAACAACCGCCGCGAGTATCCCTGAAATTTTTCTCTCTAAACAAGCCAATATTGGATTATTTTGCTGTGGCTTTGCTTCCACCCACCGGCCGACCCTTTTTCATTCGAGTCGCTGCCCTCCACTTGGTGGGCGGCCCCCAGCACGGCAGCGGAAATCAAAACTGAAGTGAGCTTTCTCATGGTGTTCGGCACAGATTCAGCAATTAAACCACAAAGACACAAGATTCCAAACAAATGTAGCTGGTTGTAGCTTGTAACTGCACTGCAAGGCCGTTGGTCTTCTGACTCGCTACATGCGGTGTAGGCAGCGCCTCAGCAGCGAGGAGCCGGAAACAAGGTCAATTGCACTAGGCATGTGACCCTTCTAT